CTTGAGGAATATCTTTGTGGTGTTCTCTGTATTTCCTGGACTTGAATATTGGCCTGCCTTGCTAGGTTGGGGACGTTCTCCTGGATAATATCCTGAAGAGTGTTTTCCAGCTTGGATTCATTCTCTCCATCACATTCAGGTACCTCTATCAAACGTAGATTAGGTCTTTTCACATAATCCCATATGTCTTGGAGGCTTTGTTCGTTTTTTGTTTTTTTTTTTTTTAACTCTTTTTTCTCTATTCTTGCCTTCTTGTTTTATTTCATTGAGTTGCTCTTCAATCTCTGATATTCTTTCTTCTGCTTGATCAATTTGGCTATTAAAACTTGTATTTGCTTCATGTAGTTCTTGTGCTGTTTTTCAACTCCATCAAGTCGTTTATGTTCTTCTCTAAGCTGGTATTCTAGTTAGCATTTCGCCCCACCTTTTTTCATGGTTTTTTATTTCTTTGAATTGAGTGAGAACATGTTCCTTTAGTTCAGAGAAGTTTGTAATCATCCACCTTCCGAAGCCTGTTTCTGTCAATTCGTTGTACTCTTTCTTGGTCATGTTGTGATCCTGTGTTGTTGAGGAGTTGTGATCCCTTGAAGGAGAAGAGGTGTTCTGGTCTTTGATGGTTTCATCTTTTTTGTGCAGGTTTTTTTCCCCATCTTTGTGGATTTACCTGGCTGTGGTGTCAGGGAGCTGCTTGATGAGGTCACTTGTCTGCCTGTCGAGGCACTACTGGGTGTCTAGGGACTCCTTCAGGTTACTAGAGAAGCTTCCTGTGTCTTTGTTTATACTGGGAGATTAGGCCCGCTTTTTCCCCTGACATTTAGGCACTGCTGGTTGGTCAGGAACGCTGTCCAGTTGCTACATAGGCTTCCTGTGTTTTTTGTTAACATAAGTAGCCCATTCCCACCCCTCTAATGGTGGGTTGTGCCCTTCCTCCATTGGGCTGGATCATTGAGCGTTCAGCTCAGACTTTGGCACTGGCTGCACAACCTGCTAGAGTCAGAGCTTCAGCCCTCAAAAGTTTGTTGGGGAGGGTAGGTACCTGCCCAGCCGCACCTGGCTGTCTTCCCCTTTCAGCTTCCTCTCTCTCCAGTAATGGGGTAGGGGCCCGCCAAGCTCCTCCGTATGTCCTCCCACTTATAGGGCAGGGGGAAGGGGTGATAGCTCGATCCTGAGGTTCTCCCGGCCGGCTTTTGGGCTTATCTGTCTGTTTAGGTCTGTGCACCAATCCGGGACAGCGTCCTGGATTATTATTCAACTCCGTGCTTGTAATTCCCGCGGCTTGACTGGCAAAGATCCCCTGTTATGTGTATTGCTGAGGCTTTGGGGGAAGCGCTGTATCTGGACCAGAGTGCCAGAGGAAGAGCCTCTGACTCACCGGTCAGATACACTTTCTGGGTGAAGCAGCACCCCTCCCCACCTTGCCTGGGCTTTGCTCACAGTAGGGCCAGTCCTGTTGAAATGCCCCTGGTACCTCAGTTAGAGCTAGGAGATCTCTGGATTTCTGCATCTCTCTCGCTGGGTGTTGTGTGCCGGAGTTGTGTCTATTTGGCCATCTTGGAGAAGAGCATATCATTTTAAAAAAATAAATTTTAGAGGTCAGGCACTGTGGCTCTCACCTGTAAACCCAGCACTTTGAGAGGCTGAAGTGAGCAATCATCTGAGGTCAGGAGTTCGAGACCAGCCTGACCAACATGGCAAAACTCCATCTCTACTAAAATATGAAAATTAGCCAGGCATGGTGGCATGCACGTGTAATTTCAGCTACTAGGGAGGCTGAGAGAAAAGTATCTCTTGAACCTGGGAAGTAGAGGTTGCAGTGAGCCGAGATTGTGCCATTGCACTCCAGCCTGGGTGATGAGAGTGAAACTGTCTCAAATAAATAAAGGAGCCAGGTGCTCCTTTATTTATAATCCCAGCACTTTGGGAGGCCAAGGTGGGCAGATCACTTGGGGCCAAGAGTTCGAGACCAGCCTGGCCAGCATGGTGAAACTGTCCCTACTAAAATTACAAAAATTAGCAGGCATGGTGGCAGGTGCCTATAATCCCAGCTACTCAGGAGGCTGAAGCAGGAGAATCACTTGAACCTGGGAGGTAGAGGTTACAGTGAGCCAAGATCATGCCATTGCACTTCAGCCTAGGCAACAGAGCAAGACTCTATCTCAAAATAAATACATAAATAATTTTTAAAAATTGGCAAAATTTAAATATGGACTATTGTATTAGTCCATTTTCACGCTGCTGATAAAGACATACCCGAGACTGGGAAGAAAAATGAGTTTTATGGACTCACAGTTTCATGTGTCTGGGGAGGCCTCACAATCATGGCAGAAGGCTAAAGGCACTTCTTACGTGGCGGTGGTAAGAGAGAATGAGAGAGAAGCAAAAGCAGAAACCCCTTATAAACTATCAGATCTTCTAAGACTTACTCACTACCATGAGAACAGCATGGGGAAAACTGCCCTGATGATTTAATTATCTCCCACCAGTTCCCTCCCACAGCACATGGGAACTATGAGAGTACAACTCAGGAAGAGATTTGACAAGTCGGGGGTGGACACAGAGCCAAACCATATCAACTATAGATTAGATCATGGTATTATAGTATTCTACATTTCCTGATTTTGATAATTGTACTGTATTATATAAAAGGATGTTCTTGTTTTGGGGAAATTCACACTGATGGTTTTATAGGTAATGATTTAGTCTCCTCAGACAGTTCAGGGAAAGATGCTTATGGGTAATTATAGAGAAATAATGACAAAGCCAATGTGGTCAAATGATAGGAAGGGTATCCTGGACTTTTCAGAATTCCTTCCCTTTTTCTGTGAGTTTAAAGTTATTTCAAAATGAAAGTTTAAAAAAATTAATTAAAAAGAAAAAGCACTTCCAGAATATTATTTTATATATGAGCTTCCATAATATTTTATATATTTTATATATTATTATATTAATATGTTATATAATAAGTATATATTTATATAATATCACCGTCTGGAGGGCAGTGGCATTATCTTGGCTCACTAAAACTTCCACCTCCCGGGTTCAAACAATTCTCCTGCCTCAGCCTCCTGAGTAGCTGGGACTACAGGCATGTGCCACCATCCCTGGCTAATATTTTGTATTTTTAGTAGTGGCAAGGTTTGCCGAGCTGGTCTTGAACTCCTGACCTCAGATGACCTGCCTGCCTCGGCCTCCCAAAGTGCTAAGATTATAGGTGTGAGCCACCGTGCCCAGCCTCATTATGACTTTTGTGATCAGGAAAAATACAAATGAACCTTATTTCTTAAGATCCTCACAATTCTTTTGACTAGTTTTTTTTTTTTAATATTAAAAAGCTCAGGGTGTTTAATGTTTCACATATCTTCAATTAATAGGTAAATATATACAAATATAGAATTATGTGCAGTTCCCAGATTCGGGAAGGACAGAGATTACAGTGTCCTCAGTGACCTCCTGATCAGCTTGGAGGCTTAGACAGGAACCTCAGAGGATGACTTTAGATGGGGAGTTTTCAGAAGAGGTGAATTCTGATCTAAACCTGGAAGGGGTCACAGAAGAAGGGGAGAGATGAAGCCCACCTTCCCCAGCCCTGCCCTCAGCTCTACCACCCAGGGAAGACCATAGGCTGCTGTTGGTTCCCTCCACACGGCCAGTGCCCAGCTTTCTGCAGCTCTCCCAACACCAATATCTTACTCTTCTCCCATTTCTTTTTTCAAATATTTTGTTCCTGCAAAACCTTCCCATGGCAAATTTCCACAAGTTAAAAACATAACTTTGATTTTAATGGAGAAAAATATTGTATATCCATGAGCCCCTAAATTAATACCCAATTTAAACACTATAAAAATGGACCAGGCCAGACACAGTGGCTTACATCTATAATCCCAGCACTTTGGGAGGCCAAGGCAGATGGATCACCTTGGGTCAGGAGTTCAACACCAGCCTTGCCAACATGGTGAAACCCTGTCTCTATTAAAAATACAGAAATTAGCTGAGCATGGTGGTGCACACCTATGATCCCAACTACTCGGGAGCCTGAGGCAGGAGAATCACTGGAACCCGGTAGGCGGAGTTTGCAGTGAACTGAGATTGCACCACTGCACTCCAGCCTGGGCAACAGAGCAAGACTCCGTCTCAAAAAAAAAAAAAAAAAAAAAAGAAATAAAAATAAATGGGCCAGTGACTTCAACAGTTAACACTGGTTATATCACAACAAAACCAGGATGGCTTCTCTTCAAATGCCTCTCCAATATACTGTCTACCCTGCATTCCTTTGGCTTTGGTATTGTCATAGTTACTAAGGTATGCTCCAGCTATCTTCACAGAGCATATAGCATGATGTTCTGTGTTTATGTGGTTCACTGTTACTCCAAGTATGGTCCTTGAACCAGCAGGGTGAACATCACCTGGGAACTTGTCAGGAATGCAAATCCATGGGCTCCATGCCAAACTCATTGGCTCAGAAGCTTTGTGGAAGGAGCCCAAGAAATTGCATTCTAACCAGCCCTCCAGGGGATTCTGAAGCACATGTAAGTTTGAGAACCACTGATGTAATTGAAAAAGAAAAAAAAGAGTAAGAAGGAAAAAAAAAAAAACAAATCATCAATACTAATGATGCACAAGGTTACCCTTTGTAAACTAGCATAATATAAATACTGTAAATTAAAGCAGCAAGAACTAATCATTCAAAGTCAAGGATAATTAATGAGCCCCTAGGTTCACAGCCTCCCACCACTCTCAAGGCATAGGATCCACAAATCCTCTCTCCAGAATGTAATGAGGTGTCTCACATGCTGGCAGGGAGACAAAATGCACTTCTAGTAAAACCGAGTTCTTTAAACTCAGGTGACCGTGTCTCTAGGTATAACCATATTTCCTTCAAATTCTCCAAATTTTTCATCCCAAAAAGCTGCCCACGTCACCCTATTTAGCCACATCTTTGGAGGTGTCTTTATATTTTGTTCCAGAGGCCTCATGCTCATTATTCATCTTTATTTTTTCAGCAAAGGGTTACCTTCCAGTTCAACATTTACCTTGGAAGAGGGGACCATCTACTTGACGACTGAGCCCAACACTCTGGAAGTGCAGGATGATAATGCTTCTGTGCTTGACGTCTATTTAGTAAGTAATTTTTTAGTTTCCTGTTTTCCCTTTCTGGTTTGTTAATGAATCCAGGCCATGGTTTACACAAGAACAAGTTCTATAAAACCAGGTATGCTTGGGCTTTAAAAGAAATGATGGCACCCTGTCACTTCTGCAAATGGTGCTTTTTCTATAAGTAATGTTTTCCCACAGTTCGTTACACAAAGGAGTATCTAGGTCAATACGAAATCACCATGTATAACAAGAGAACAAAACCCCTAACACTGAGGTAAAGTAGGGCTCCTAGATGTTATTCCCAACCAGGTAATGTTTTCCTTTGATTGAGTTGTGCTCCCTGATGTTTGAATCTTCTGAGTTTGGCGTTGCTCCCTTGTTAAGTTAGGAGGCCAAAAGGTGGAGAATAGGGTCATGGGAAGAACCCAAATTCAGTGCCAGGGAATCTTGACTGACTCTCTTCTCAGTTGTCACCAACCAGCTGTGTGATGTGGGCAGGAACCTTTCTGACTGCCTGTCCTTATTTACCAAAGGAGAGGAATCATGTCCGCCCTGTCTTCCTTACAAGGCTGCTTTGAGGATCGTTTGAATGACCCTTTAGTGCCTGTCAAATTAGCTATATTGGCTTAATCGAACTGTTAGATAATGCCTAGAAAGATACCATAATGAGCTACACTGTAAAAGAGTATTTTCTGTGCCAGGTACATCTCACATGTATGCTATGTCTTTGCACACCTGCACAGAATTACATAAAACAGGGGAAGTATTGATTTGGAATTTTCTGGGATTTATTTTTAAGTTTTGCTAAACCTGAGCTGATACTCTGTGTCACTCCTGGTGTACAAGCACAACTTCAGGAATCAGCACCGAGTGGTGCATGTGTCACAGCAGCTCCTTGAGCCTGCACTTTATGCTTTTCCATATCCCTGACCTAGCACCATAATTCCTCAAGAGTACTCTGCAGGACATCAGTCACCTAAGATGCTACACCCAGCTCTTCTGGAATAGTATCCAAAGTCCTGGGCAGGAGTGGTGGCTCCTGTCTCTAATCTCAGCACTTTAGGAGGCCGAGGCAGGCAAATCACATGAGGTCAAGAGTTCAAGACCAGCCTAACCAAGATTGTGAAACCCCATCTCTACTAAAAATAGGAAAATTATCCAGGCATGGTGGTGCATGTCTGTAGTTCCAGCTACTTCCCAGGCTGAGGCAGGAGAATCACTTGAACCTGGGAGGTGGAGGTTGTAATGAGCCAAGATTGCACCACTGCACTCCAACCTGGGCCACAGAGCCAGATCCTGCCTCAAAAGAAAAGAAAAAAAAAAAAGCCCTCCAGGCCCTGCACAGTCTGGTCTCCCCTGCCTCTCCAACCTGCCCCTCCCTGGGTCTCTCTCTTTCTTGCTGATGCTATTCTAGCCACACTGGCCTCCTTGGAGTTCCTCCCACAGACCAAGCACATCTCTGCCTCAGAACTTTTGCATTTGCCATATCTATCTGTGTGTTCTTTTCCACCCATCCCATGCACCCTCACTTCCTTCAGGTCTCAGCCCAAGTACCTCTTTCTCAGACAGGCTTTTCTTGACCCCCCTACATAAAGTAGTAGGTCTCCCACCAACCATTGTAAAAAGATTTTTTTCTCTGAATATCCTGGTTGTTGCATAAACAAATTGTTTTGCACTGAGCAATGCTCCTGCCTACCATTGCCTCCACTTTAAAAAAATAAGTTATAGCAGATCACAAAATTTTTACAGAAAAGTTGGTCCACTCCCAACCAAGAAAAGAGGGAATTAAATAGAGAAAAAATGTATTTTTGTTCCCATGTTGGATTCACCTGGAACCAGAAATCAGGAAAGCCTTTCAGAAAGAAGCTAAGTAAAATCTCTTCTTCATGAACTAAGGATGCATGCCACTTTCATGTGTCTTTACAAAAACTAGATTTTCACCAATCAGGTCGGTACATTATTCCTGAGTGAGCCAAAACTCAAATTCAGCTCTACATGCTGTCCTACCTAAACATGAACCTGGGAGGCACCCTGTTGTTTTTATTGACCATAAATATAAGTCTCACCTCCATCTCACTGGAATTATGTGTCTGACAAGAGTGAGAGAAGGATGCAGACAGGAAGGAATAAAGAGGTTTTTGTTGAGAATATTTTTTGTAAAGTTCTTTCACTGTTTTTTCCTGATTATTTTTTAATGTTCTAGTGAAACAGTTCTCAGACCTTTTGATCTCAGGATCCCTTTAAACCCTTACAAATTATTGAGAATTCTGAAGAGTGTTTTGGTATCTAGGTTATATTTATCAATATTTTGTGCTTTCAAAACTAAAACAGAATTTTTTTGGTATTTTTTTGAGACTAGGTCTTGCTCTGTTGCTCAGGCTGGAGTACAGTGGCGTGATCTCAGCTCACTGCAATGTCTGCCTCCTAGGTTCAAATGATTTTCATGCCTTACAACCTCCTGGGTAGCTGGGACTACAGGTGCATACCACCACACCCGGCTAATTTTTGTGGTTTTCTTTGTAGTAACAGGGTTTCACCATGTCGCCCAGGCTGGTCTCAAACTCCTGGACTCAAGTAGTCTGCCCACTTTGCCTCCCAAAGTGCTGGGATTATAGGAGTGAGCCACTGCATCTAGCCAAAATTATTTAAATATTCATTAATTTAAAATAGTAATCTATTATATGTTAATTTAAGTAACATTTTTATGAATATTATATTTTCCAAAACAAAAATAAATTTTGTGAGGGTGGCGTTATTTTATATTTATGTAAATCCCTAATATCTGGCTTAATAGAAGAAAAAGCATTCTCATATCTGTTACTGTATTAGTCTTCTTGATATGTATGACACATCATTTCATTTCTAGAAAGTTCCATTGTACATCCATGAAAGGGAATGAGAATAAAAAGGCAAATAACATCTTAATATTATTGGGAAAATAATTTGACCTTCTAGACCCCCAGAAATGACCCCTACAGAGTTTTTCTCATATTTTAACTTAGTCTCTTCACCTGTTAACCAAATGAAACATAAATTAATTAGAGAGAAGTAGGTGCCTGGAGTCTATGCTGGTCTCTGCCTCATTAATTATTGACCTTGAATTCAGTCACCCTCTTTGGGCCTCAGTTTTCTCATCTATGAAATGAATTATTAAATTAGGTTCATTCTAAATTACAAGGAGCTATAGAAATAAGATTTTCTAAGGTGGGAGAATTGCTTGAGGCCAGGAGTTTGAGACCAGCCCAGGCAATGCTGTGAGACCTCATCTCTATAAAAATTTAAAAAAAAAAAAAAAAAATTAGCTAGGCTTGGTGGTGTGTGCCTATAGCCCCAGCTACTTGCAAGGCTGAGGCTGGAGGATCCCTCGGGCCCAGGAGTCTGAGGTTGCAGTGAGCCATGATTTTATCACTGCACCCTAGGCTACGCAAGGGAGTAAGACCTTGTCTTCAATTTTTTTTTTTAAAACAAGTTTCTAAAGTAGCTACTGTTGTTTCTCCAAATTTTGCTGTTTCATCACCTCCTGTTCCATAAACTTTCACATTCTTTAAATTATATGGCAATACATCTAGAAAGTCCTGCGCCATTAACTTGTAATTCCAGAATGTGTTCTCACACTGAAGATTTTTATTTTTTGTTTTGCATGCTTTTCCAGATCAGAAAGGGTATGGCTCATTGCTCTTTCTTCAGTATGTTCATTTGCATCTGCATTATAAAAAGCAAATGGCGGCTAGGCATGGTGGCTCATGCCTATAATCCCAGCACTTTGGGAGGCCAAGGTGGATGGATCAACTAAGGTCGGGAGTTTGAGACCAGCCTGACCAACATGGAAAAACCCCACCTCTACTAAAAATACAAAATTAGCCAGGCATGGTGGCGCATGGCTGTAATCCCAGCTACTTGGGAGGCTGAGGCAGGAGAATCGCTTGAACCTGGGAAGCGAAGGTTGCAGTCAGCCAAGATCGCACCATTGCACTCCAGCCTGGGCAACAGAGCGAAACTCTGTCTCAAAAAAAAAAAAAAAAAAAGAAAGAAAGAAAGAAAAAGCAGATGGAAATGAAAAGCACAAAAGGAAGACCAATCTTGCCTTTGCAGTCTCTTTTTTCCTTTTGACATAATTTGAATGCTCTGAATCACAGCCATCTTTACTTGAAGGACAGTTGGAAGCTTCTCTGGTGACCTTGGTTTAGTATTGTCACCAAATGTGGTCAGATTTCTCTTGTAATGCTTCCTCTCTTTTAAGATAGCATTTCTCTGTTAGTAGTTGTAGCCTAATCCCCTAGTGCTTTTATTTATGCAGTAATGTATAACACCATTTACCCTTGTGTAAAAATACATAGGTTTACACCCAAATGATGTATGCCCACCAGATAACACATGAAGTGTGCTTTTAAGGATTCACCCACACATTATGTGCATGTGCGTTAGGCCAGCTCTCCTGTTTCTTCCTGTGTCTCGACATGAAATTATAAAGGATGAGTGAGCTGAGAAGACAGCTAATTGTTCCATCATCTTTATGGAGACATTTAGTTCAGATTTTATGTACCCAGTTACTCTGCATGGCTTTTTAAAGGCCATTCACCTTCACACTGTAGAGTTCCAAGCTATTTGACTCATTTGCAAATATTCAAATCAAGGGAGGTATTTTCTAAGATGATTTTATCCAGTGACCAAAGATGTGTTTTTCATTGAATTTTGAGTTGATGACACAGATTAGGGTATTTAAAAGAATACACAGAGATGAGCAGGCTGTATTGATTTAAAATGGGCAATCATGCAGTCTTCATAATAGAGCAAGATTCTACTTTGTAAATAGTCTCAGATATTCTAAGACACCGGATGCTGTCACAGTGGCTGTTATTTCCGTTTCTAAGGCAGCTTTGCCTGATGTAGAATGCAATTTGGTGTTAATGGAAAGAGGAAGAACCAACAAAAAGCCATTTCTGCTGAAAAGTGTATTGGGAGAGAATATCCTTTTATGACTAGCTGGGAATGGCTGGATAAGTGGGAGATAATGGGATTGCTTTTTTAATAATACAGAAGTGTGAAAGATAGCTGCCACAAAACTGTGACTTTCTTGCTTCGACTATTCAGACCCAAGATTATGCCCTTACACTTTTCATATTGACATCCTCTCAATAACATGTTCTTCCATCCAGTTTTGCTTCTCTGCAAAATGGCTGTTTGAAGTACAAAAATAGCTGTGGGCAAAGGAGAAGAAACGGTTAAATCATTTTTTAGCCATGCCAGTATTGGAGATTATCGCACTGATGGGCAGCTGTTTGACAGCTTGATTATTTAATGTGTTTTCAGGGTAGTTAATAATACTCTTTGATCATGGGAAGAAGGGTGGCAGAGAAGTGAAAATGATTGAATTAACAGCTTATCATACTATTATGTATGGAAAAAGCCTGAGAAAGAGAAGAAAAACACTTTAAATTAGGTCACGGGGGTCTTAGAAAATTCAGTGGAACTTTCTTGGCAAGAGAAACTGCCTTTCTGGATTTGAATCCCTTGGCGTTGAGGTTAATGACTTATATCGGGTTTCTTTAATCATTCCGTGTTGGAGCCAGTATCGACTACTGCAAGAGATGTTTATTTGAAACAGTGCCATTTCTATTGCTGCTCAGGAGAGAGCTAGATCCCCCAACAACCAAAGATGCTGCTCGGGTTTTTGGTAGATTTCAGTGAGAGCAGAGTAGGAAGCAGAAAAGACAAACACCACCTTTGGCACAGAAAGCATTTGACCAGAAGGGCCTTTCCTTCCGCCACGTGATCACATTGTTGAGAAATGAAGAGATTTTGGAAAAGGTAAAACAGAGCCCTTGTTCCCAGAAATGCTTGGCCCCTTAAGTTATTGACAAATAATATTTCTAAGACACGTGGAAGAGCTGAAAAAATGGACCCTCCATTACCCAAGTCTCAGTGCACCTACAAGTTATTCCCATTCTTGAAATAAAAGTGATGCAAGCTTCAAATTAGTGAGGCAACCTGTCAGTCTAGATTAGGAGGTCACTCATAGGATTAAAAAAAAAAAAAAAAACAGCATTAAACTGCTGTTTAAGGATTAGCGTAGGGAATTGGAGTTACAAAGGCATACTGGCTTTCCAGTCAAATTAGGCTCAGAGTTAGCAATTGAATGACAGTTTGCAGGGCTGTGGTAGCTTTTGTTGTTGTTGTGGCTTTGTCCTAGCTTTACAGTGAATCTTGGCCTGCAGGCCAGCTTGATTTCTACTTTTTTTTTTTTTTTTTTTTTGAGCCAGGATATCTCTCTGTTGCCCAGGCTGGAGTGCAGTGATGCAGTCTTGGCTCACTGCAGCCTCCTCCCGGATTCAAGCAATTCTCCTGCCTCAGCCTCCCAAGTAGCTAGGACTATAGACTTACACCTCCATACCCGGCTAATTTTTGTATTTTTTTGTAGAGATGGGGGTTCCTGTGTCCTCAGTGGACAGAAAAAAAAGAAAAAAAAAGAGATGGGGTTTCCCCACATTGGCTAGGCTGGCCTCGAATTAGACTTCAAGTGATCCACCCGCCTTGGCCTCCCAAAGTGCTAGGATTACAGGCGTGAGGCACTGCGTGCAGCTGATTTCCACTTTCTTAAAAGCTAGTTCTGCTCTTCAGTTTGCTTGGGTCTCTTATTATTATCCAACCAGGCCCTCCATGGGTTTGCCCCTCATGTTTTATTCTTTTCCTCGTAAGACTGGCCTCTCTTCCCTTATCCCTCTAGAATCTCTCTATTGCTTCTCTTATGGTTTCTATTTTTGTCTTCCTTGTCAGAGAAAGCCAGTGTTTGCTGGTCTCTAGAGACTTTCCAACCCTTGGGAATAGTGTTGGAGGAAGAACAGTCTCTAATGCTGTGAACTTGGGGTCTGCGAGGCTCTGAGCCTGCAGGAAACAAACAAACAGCAGACTTAGAAGGAACCAGATTAGAACAAAGGAGAATTTTGGGGAAAACAAGTTTAGATCACACCCATGGACCTAGTAAACAGGACTGTCCTTATTCACGCTGTTTCCCCTCCTGGGCTCTGAGAAGGAATAGAAAGTGCTTAAGGACTGTTCGGTTTATTGAAAATAAAGCCCCCCAAGTATGATGAACGATATGAGTAGGAATAGGCAGCTGAGGGCCTGGCCTCCGGTTGGTCTGTTTCTGCCTATGCTGGTTTCCAAGGGCTGCCATCACAAATGACCACAGACAGAAATAATTGTCTCACAGTTCTAGAGGCCAGATGTCTGAAATCAAGATGTCACTAGTGCTGTCCTTCTTCTGAAGGCTCCAGGGGAGGATCCTTCCCTGCCTCTTTCAGCCTCTGGTGGCTCCACACGCCCTTTGGTCCTGTGAGCTGCATCACTCTCGTCTCTGCCGCCATGTTCACATGGCCTTCTCCCCTGTGACTTTCTGTGCCTGTGTGTGGCTTCTCTTCTTACAAGGATATATCAGTCATTGGATTTAGGGCTCACCCTAATCCAGTCTGACCTGTTCTTAACTAATTATATCTGCAAAGACCCTATTTCCAAAAAAGGTTACATTTTGAGGCTCCAAGTGGAAAAGAATATTGGGGGGACACAGTTCAACCCACCCAATGCCTTGCCTGGGGACCTGTGAATTAACTTCTCCTTAACACACGTGGCCTTATTTTCCTGTTGTCTTCCCTTCTCCCTGGCTAAATCACTGTGAGGTTGGGTAAATGTTTCCAAATTATTTTGTATTCCTCACAAAAAGGTATCAGGTAAATGACTATATGAACAGACTCAGTCACCTGCTGGGGACATAATCTGTGTTCAAAGCAAAAACCCTGGGGGTGGACTGAGGCATTGGTATTTTTTAAAGCTCTACACACATCCAGGGCTAATATCCCCTGAGCTTGTTGACAAGGTCCTTCAGCTCTGAGCATCCTGGAATTCTTGTATGCTAATGTAAGGGAGAACATGTGATTCTCCTGGCAAGATAGCTAGCCCCTTGCATCAAGTGCACGTGCCTCTAATGAAGAAGCAAAGCCTGGGAAGCTTCTACACTCTCAAGTTTATGAACTGGGCTTGTAACTGAGCTCCTTCTTTCAGGAAGCCCTCTACTGCCACCTACTGGTAATCAAGGTGGGGAAGGAGTGATGAAGCCCCTTGAGTTGAAACATAATGAAAAGCAAGTGTGTCTTTCTATTGAGTTCCCACTCTTTGTACTTTATTGTAGCCTCTCAGTGTTGTACCTGCAAGTTCAGCAGGGGGCATGTCCTTCAGACGTCAAAGGCAGCTCACTCTGACAGGCCCAGCTCCACTACCTTTCAAGTTGGACTGGAGGATACAATTATAAGGCAGTGCAAAAATGAAGGTGCCACCCTCCCTCAGGTCCAAGCTTGCCCTCCTCATCCATCAAGGCCAATTCCACTTGAGCCTTTCTGAAAGGGCCCCTTGGCAAATGGGGGATTCCACACAGAAAATGCATCTTTCTACTGCTTAGGCAGCAATTTTAACGATGTATCAACAAATATGGGGTGGAGAAAGCCTTTTCTTCACCTTCAGTCTTCAACAGGTCCTGGCCTGCAGCCACTGACCTCCCAGGTGATTGTGGCTTTTGAAGTAACTTTAGCAGAGAATAGAATTAAATATAATAGGATGCAAATATGGGGTTTTTTAAAGACTTCCTAAATCCCAGTGATGGCTATTTTATTAGTTTTCTAGAGCTGCTGTGAGAAAGTACCCCAGATTTTGTGGCTTAAACAGAAATTTATCATTCTGGAGGCCAGAAGTTCAAGATCATGATGTTGGCAGGATAGGTTCCTTCTGAGGGCCACAAGGTAAGGATCTGTTCCAGCCTCTCTCTCTGGTTTGTAGGTGGCCCTCATCTCCCTGTGTCTTCATACCACATCTTCCCTCTGTACATGTCTGTACCCACACATTCGCCTTTCTATAAGGACATCAGTCATACTGAATTAGGGCCCAACCTGTGGCCTCATTTTAATCTGATTGATTACCTCTATAAAGACCCTGTCTCCAAATAAGGTCACATTCTGTGGTGATGACAGTTAGGACTTTTAACATAGAAATTTTAAGGGAACACAATTTAGCTCATAATAGCTACTTGATTTTGTAAAGAAAAATGCCACCAAGGTAAGTGCTGAGATAGAAAAGGCTTGATGGGGTGAGCAACTTTTTTTTAAGATGGAATCTCCCTTTGTCACCCAGACTAGAGTGCAGTGGTACAATCCTGGCTCACTGCAACCTCCACCTCCTGGGTTAAAGTGACTCTTATGCCTCAGCCTCCTGAGTAGCTGGGATTACAGGCACATGCCACCACACCTGACTAATTTTTATATATATTTTTAGTAGAGGCAGGGTTTCACCATGTGGGCCAGGCTGTCTCAAACTCCTGACCTCAGGTGATCCACCCACCTGAGCCTCCCAAAGTGCTGGGATTACAGGTGTGAGCCACTGCACCCAGCCTGGGTGTGCAACTTCTAATTTCCACCCTCTGGGTCTTCGTAGAGGGCCTCTGGTGAATTCCTTCCTGTGGGTGAGAGAGAAGCCAGTGGCCTCATCCTCAGGCAGTGCTCCTTTCAAATGAAATGAGAACCATATTCCCCCCCCCCACATTTTCCAAATGTGGCAGAAGCAGGGGTCAGAGTGGATTCTGTTGCAGCAACAGATCTATGTGATGTATTAGATGATAAGGAGTACTAGTCCATTTTCACACTGCTATAAAGAACTACCCAAGACTGGGTAATTAATAAAGGAAAGGGGATTCATTAGCTCACAGTTCTACATGAATGAGGAGGCCTCAGGAAACTTATAATCATGGTAGGAAGTAAAGGGGAAGCCAGGCACATCTTACATGGCAGCAGGAGAGAAAGAGAAGTGGCAATCACCAGATATTTATCAAACAACCAGCTATCATGATAACTCGGTCACTAGAACAGCAAGAACTTGACTCAATCACCTCCCATCAGACCACTCCCCCAACACATGGGGATTACAATTCGACATGAGATTTGGGTAGGGACACAGAGCCAAACCATATCATAAGGTAACCACTCAGATTTACAAATTAGCAGGAGTCAGTCAAGTGCTGAAAAAGCCACTGCAGAACTGCCCGCCATTATAAATCACTGATGCTCTCCGGCTTCTCTTGGGTCCTTAGAAAGCAAATTAATCAGGCAGGGAACTGTTAAAATATTACCACACTAACAGTTTTGAAATGAGAGGCCAATCTTAATCCATCCCAGGAGAAGGCGGAGACAAGTGCCAGCTGCTTCTTGGGTCTGCTCTCATCTTATGGGTCATCTACCTGCTGCTTGGTATGGGATGCTTTAATGGGGCATCTAGAGGCCGGCAGAAGGCCTGGCACCCCATGTGCCCCCAACACCTAAGAATTCAACCAACAGTCTACCAGATCAGGCACAAAATAGCTGTCTTCGTCCCAAATGCACACGTCCTTCAAGGATGGTGAAGGTCCTGCCTTCTGCCTCAAGGCTTCTCAGTTGAAGCCTTGCAGTCCCTGGTCCTTGGAAGAGAGTAAGTTCACCTCTAATGCTGAGTACAAATATTTTTTAAGTACAAAGGTAGGAAATTTGGACCTGAGCATGCCTACGTTTCCTTGCAGCAATGCATTTCCAGGGCAGTATGATTTTCTTCTGGTCACACTGCTGTGTCCTGATTCTGCAGCACTAGCATGTCTATTTGTTTCCATGCCTAACAAAATGGTGAGCTTTTTGGGTCCCTGATACTACTGGAATCCAATACAATGAGAAATCCCCCACTGCACTACATCCCCAAACGACTGAACTCCCAATACAGGATAGATGTGAATAGAATAAAATATAGATTTTTATTAAAAAAGAGAGAGACAGAGAGACTCTGGACTTCCCAGAGCCCAAAAGTGATACCCTGTGTTTAAAATTCAGGGATCTCAGCCAGGCATGGTGGCTCACACCTGTAATCCCGACACTATGGGAGGTGGAGGCGGGCCCATCACTTGAGGCCAGGAGTTCAGCTCTAGCCTGGGCAACATGGTGAAACCCCGTCTCTACTAAAAATGCAAAAAATAGCTGGGCATGGAGGTACATACCTGTAATCTCAGCTACTTAGGAGGCTAAGGCATGAGAATCACTTGAACAAAGGATGCAGTGAGCCGAGATCACACCATTGATCTCCAGCCTGGGTGACAAAGGGAAGCTCTGCCTCAAAAAATAATAAAACAAAATTCAGGGATCTCTGAGAAAGCAATGAGGTGAACCTAGAGATGAAGGGGACCCTGGAGCCAAGGAGATGATGTCGGGGTGAGGTATCGTGAGCCTTAGTATGCATCTGTGGTGATGCTGTGAGCTTAGACTAACATAAGCAGAGTGAGGCAGGACAGGTTGATGTGATCTCATGACAAATGAAGGAACATCAGCCAAAAAAATCAGAACGGGGTTGGGAGGGGAGCTGAGAGAAGACAACACTGGAATGCAGCTCCCAGCGAATGAGACGCAGAGGACTAGAGGACTTCACGATTCCAAATGAGGTGTCAGGTTTGTTTCTGAGGGACTGAAATAGTCCCAGGGAAGGAGCCACAGGGCAAGAGCCACCCAGGGGGGAAAATCAAGACAGGGGAGGGTGCATCCCCACCTGAAACATGCAGCCGGCTCGGAGGGTCAGGGGACTTCACCCCCTTGGTGCTCCAATTCAGATCCTGTGCTTACCTCTTCCCTCTTGCAACCCATGGTCCATGAGAGCCCTGCCAGATGGTGGGGCACCACGGGTGGTTGATGCAAATCTGAGCAGTGGCTCCCACCAGGCACCACAAGTTGTCGCAGGGACCTGGGTGGGAGTTTGGACTAATGCCAGTGGGATGGACCTTCCCAAAGAGGGAGGCAGAGTTGAAAGCAGGGAAACAGACCATAAGGCCTGGCAGGCTCCACCTCCACAGAACTCAAACTGAAGCCCTAGCCAGATGGCTTGGCAGCAAATACACCAGCTTGACCCCAACTAGGAAGATCCAACTGGAGAAGGAGAGATGCCATTGGGAAGGTAGGGCCAATCTCACCTGCAAACAAACTCCAGGGAAGGACAACCCACCCAACAACCTGACTGAACCCAAGAGAGCCCAGCAACACCCTCTACAGGCCAAAAAAGATATAGCCCAAACCTCAACAGAAAAAAGTCCACTCAGAGACTCCTCCTGAAATCACCAACTTCAAAGATCAAAGGGAGATAAATCCATGAAGATGGGAAAAACACAGCACGAAAAGGGTGAAACCATCAAAGAACAGAACACCTCTTCTCCTCCCAGGGATCACAACTCTTCACCATCAAGGGAAGAATAAAAAGACAGAGAATGAATTTGACAAATTGACAGAAGCAGGCTTCAGAAGGTAGGCAATAACAAACGTCTCTGAGTTAAAAGACCATGTTCTAACCCAATGCAAAGAAACTAAGAACCTTGAAAAAAGGTTAGATGAAATGCTCACTAGAATAACCAGCTTAGAGAAGAACTTCAATGATTTGATGGAGCTGAAAAACACAGCACAAGAAATTCACGAGGCATACACAAGTTTCAAAGGCTGATTTGATCAAGCAGAAGAAAGGATATCAGATATTGAAGATCAAATCAATGAAATAAAATGAGAAGGCAAGATTAGAGAAAAAAGAGTTCGGCATACCTGAATGTGACGGGGAGAATGAATCCAAGTTGGAAAACACTCTTCAGGATATCATCCAAGAGAACTTCCCCAACCTAACAAGGCAGGCCAACATTCAAATCCAGGAAATACAGAGAACACCACAAAGATATTCCTCAAGAAGAGCAATCCCAAGGCATATAATTGTCAGATTCACCAGAGTTGAAATGAAGGAAAAAATCCTAAGGGCAGCCAGAGAGAAAGGTCGAGTCACCCACAAAGGGAAACCCATCAGACTCACAGAGGATCTCTCAGCAGAAACACTGCAAGCTAGAAGGGAGTGGGGACCAATATTCAACATCGTTAAAGAAAAGAACTTTCAACCCAGAATTTCATATCCGGCCAAACTAAGCTTCATAAGTGAAGGAGAAACAAAATCCTTTACAGGCAAGCAATTGCTAAGAGATTTCGTTGCTACAAGACCTGCCTTACAAGAGTTACTGAAGGAAGTACTAAACAGGGAAAGGAACAACTAGTACCAACCACTGCAAAAACATACCAAATGGAAAGAACAACGAAACAGGGGAGGATCCAAGATGGCCAAATAGGAACAGCTCCGGAGTGCAGTTCCCAGCAAGAACAATGCACAGGGTGAGTGCCCACCACATTTCCAAACAAATTTACACTGCCCACAGGCCAGGAGATTCCCAGGTCAAAAAGCACCACCAGTTTTCAACACCGGCTTGGCACACAGAAACTCACACAAATCTGGGTGGCCGTTTCAACTGGCGCCTGGAATGCCTGGGAGACAGAGCCACCCATTCAACTGAAAGGGAGGGGACAGAGACAGGGAACCAGGCGATCTGGCTCGGCAGATACCGCCCCCACAAAACAAGCAATCTGAATCGCTCTGGATTGACAGTTTCCCAGGAAGCGCAGCTGGACCCAGGATGGTCCAGCTCAGTGGGAGGAAGGGCGACCACCACTACCGAGGCAGCTCACAGAGCAGCTGGGCAGAGCCTGCGGCAGCTCAGCAACACCTCTGCTGGCAGACTGTGATTAGACTACTCCATGCAGGGCAGAGCATCCATGAAAAAAGGCAGCAGCATGACAGGAACTTATAAATAAAGCCAGCCTTCCTAGGACAGAGCACCTAGGAAAAGAGGAAGTTATGAGTTCTGCTGCAGCTGACTTAAAATACCTGTTCAGCATCTCTACACAGAATAACAGAGTTCCCAGCACAGCACTTGAGCTCCTATAAGGGACAGACTGTCTCCTCAAGCAGCTCCCCAACCCCCATATACCCAAAGAGACACCTCATAAAGAAGAGCTCAAGCCAACATCTGGCAGGTACCCTTCTGGGACGAAGATAAAAGAAGAAACTGGCAGCAACCCTTACTGTTCTGCAGACCCCGTAGGTGATCCCCAGTTAAGCAGCGTCTGTAATCCCACGTTATTTTAGCTCTGAGAAGTTTGTTATTACCTACCTTTTGAAGCCTGTTTCTGTCAGTTCATCAGATTCATTCTCCATCCATCTTT